AAGAGCTACTTAATAAAAGTTTGCACTTACTATTCAATTTTGTACTACGAAGGGCATGTCGTCTGTACCTTTACAGTCGGCTACTCTCCATTGAGTATTTCACTCACAATAGGGGCATGTCGTCTGGGCATATAGTCGGCTACTCTCCATAAGAAGATGGCCGACTGGTTCCAAACACATAGCCACCCCCCTAATACTTAGCTAAAAAGATTAGGGCCTGGCCGACCCTGTGCCTAACAGGCGGCTACCCTCCTTTTACTTAGCACCTACGTTCACCAAGAACTTACCAAGGCCACAGGCCGAATGATCAGACCAAATGCCAAGCCAACTGATCAAATGTACAAAACTAATACGACCTGTCCCAACATCATAGCAGGCGTCCGACGGCATCCCTTCGGATGAAATTCGTCGCAGAGAGCAGCTCCCTTTTGGGTGGAACATTGTTCTATAAACTAATTACACGGCCCCTATACGACTGTCCCCAAGGGCAACCACGTAGCCGTTTTTGAGACAAAGATAACTCTATCACTAACCAAACCAGTGGTAGTAGTTGACATCTGAGTCAGATGACCGCCTGTATTACTTGGGATAAATGCAGGGGGTACCTATTGAGTTAATAGCCAACAAACATTGGCGAATCAAGGGGTCTATCCGGCCTACGCCGCCTGGTACCTCTACTTCTCAAACAAAAGTGACGGCGACTGAGTAACTCCAACGTTAACTCATAGTCACTCCCTCAAATTTGGTATGGAACCTAAAAGGTTTGAGTCGTCCGCCTGTTTTTAACAAACAGGGGCACTCAAACCCCTATTCCTACTAGGTAACCTATTGAGTTAATAGCCAAACAAACATTGGCAAATCAAGGGGATCAGCCGGCATCCGCCGCCTGGTACCTCTACTACTCAATCTAGATTGTGACGAAGACTAAGTAACTCCTATGTTAACTTAATAGTCACTCAAACTTAGTATGGAGCCTAAAAGGTATGAGTCGTCCGCCTGTTTTTAACAAACAGGGGCTCTCAACCACTACTCTTTCTAGGTTAAAAAATTATGAGTTAAAAGCCAACAACATTGGCAATAAAGGGAAACAACCGGTACCCGCCGCTTGTTATCTCTACTACTCAATTCCTTGGCGACTAGGTAATACTCTATTTACTTGGCCAGACTACTTTCCTACTTGGTTAAATTTACAAATAACAGGCCCGCCTGCCTAAAAAGGATCCAGACAAAATAGTTCGAATACTGATTGGATAAAGGGCCGACTGATCGTCTATCCTGGAAACAGACAACCAGTCGTCCAGGGGCATAGGCGGCGTACTAACTCTCCGTACCTGTCTGCAACGTTCGGCCATGTAAAACAGTCGATCTAGTAAACAATTGGATATTAGATATGGAATACTTAGACAAATTTGAAGCAAAACAAAAATTCATTAAAAATAAGCCGGTCATTAAAGACCAGCAAAATATTCAAAGCCCCGGCCCCCTGGCCGGGTAAATACAAAGCAAACGGCACGCAGGCCGTGGAAAGAATAGGCAAAGCTTAAGAAGGGGGCAGTTCAGTATTAGCAGCTGCCGCCTGGTCAGCACTCTTCTTGCTGGACTCGGCTTCAGTTGCATCCTTTTTTGATGCCTTACCCCCAAGCGGCACAAGCGCCACTACCGGTTCCTCCTCCTCCTCCACCGCTTCTCCCAACGCCTCTTCTTCAGCAGCCGCCAGGATCTCTTGATTATATGTTTCCGAACACTGGCGGTACGTTCTTTCCCAAGAGGCAAAGTCGGCACTGGGGAAGAGGCGGCCCCAGGTCATGCGCTGGATTTGAGCGGAGTCTTCCATCATCTCCCGGACCAGCTCTTTCTTCTCTTGCTCGGCCTTTTCCGAGAGCTCAGCCTGTCTTAGGGGTCCGGCTGAGATAGTTCATATGGGCGAAAGCCTCGAAGCTCGGCTCCACCCCGTGCAGTTCGCACCCGGCCACATAGCCGAGTACGTTGACCCAGGAGTTTGGGGCTAACTGCCATAACCCCAACTCATACCCATCCAAAATCCGCTGAACAGCCGGATGTAATGGGAAACGAAGCCCTGCCTTAATGGCCGCCTCGTAGCAGCCAAAGCAGGAGCTTTCATAACTGGAACCAGCCGGCCAGACGACTGTGTCTTCTGGATCCGGCACAAACACTAGAAAGTCGGGGCCCATGGTGTGGTTTGCAATAAAGCTCTCCACCTTCTCTTGCATGGCTGTGATTCGGCCCCGAGGTACCGTGCAGTAGTAGGGGGTATTTAGCTCTTGGTAAGAGGCGGATGGTTCCGCCCAATTGTCCCCCTTCTCAACTGCGTGAGAAAGTCTCGCCTCTTGCAGGCGGCTGTTTTTCTCTTCTGTACCCAAAGAAGCATGGCCAGAAGAGCTTGACTCGGAATCGTCCTCCGACGAGTCTGAAGAGGACGACTCCTCCCCTCTCCCGAAGGGGCCCGCCTCCTCTCTTTGAAAAGGAGCAGATTTGTTAACTGTTAAATTGGAAGGGGTCACTATGACTCCCCCCACAGAATTGCCGGCATCCAGGCCGCCTTGTCTCACTTCCACATCTGGCGCCTGGTCAGATGTTTCACTAATCGGCACCCTGTGGGAGGAGCCGTCTGAATTTGAGATCCTAGCTGTCTTTTTCGTTCTGGCCATCCTGCTCTGCATAGACACAGATACAGTCGGACTTTGTATAAAGGGCAAAGATGGGTCCGGAAAAGGGCAGGCGGCACTCCTAGTCCTAGATGGTAAAAAACAATTTTTAGAAATTTTTTTGGTGGTAAAATAAATTAAAAGTTTTGGTTGTAAAAAACAATTTTTTGATTTTTTTTGTGGTAAAAGTCAAAATATCCTAAAAACTATAGTAAGGTTAATATTGTCCAACTTTATAATTTTTTCGAAAATATATCGATATGGATGTCTATAAAAATTGCTATTTTTATAATAATTTTTTGTTTGTAGGTTTTCTTTAATGCATTTGTAGTTTGTACAGTGTACATACCTCTTCATTAATGATGCTGACTAGGACACTATTATCTCTAGTAACAAATTTGTATTTTCCCTCTCATTTTTTTAGTAACAAGATTGTTATTATGAACCAATGAAATTCTTCACGCCTATTTTTGCTAAATGGCGCTTAAAACTAATTTATTTTCCCCCTCATTTTCCCCTTTCATTTTTGTAACTAATGATGAGTTGTCAATTGTATGTGGACCACACATACAATAGTTGTATATTAGAGGTGTTTAACATTGGCCCAATCCGATCTGTCCCGAAAATAGGGCGGGTTTGGGCAAGCCTAAAAATGCAATTGTAGTTAAAAAGCCCGAACCCGGCCCGAAACAGTTCGAAAAGCCCGTTTTGGCCCGACAAGCCAACAACTTTTTTTTTACGGGTTTGGGCATGAGAAATTATGTTTAGGCCCGACCTGATTTTTTTATCACCTCTATTGTATATGTATCATCTTCCTTTACATGCCTATTTCTCTTTATTATGTGAGTAATAAATACTAGAAATAGGCATGTAAATAAGGGATAGAGGGAGTACCTTTTTTTTAGGGTACTCCACTTGCTTTATCATTTTCTATTATAATCTCTCGTCTCTTAATATGTGTGTCTAAACTAAATGCATCAACTAAATAAAAAAAAAGAGAAAGTACCAAAAAAAAAAAGGAAAAATATTTAGTTGTTATTTATAATGGGTGAGCCCCGGTTAAAAGCAACAACCCAACACCACAACATACACAAACCCTGACCCCCCATTCAGCGGCCGTTTCCGACGACTCTGTCGTTGAATTCTACAAAAACCCCAAGGAAAAAGTGAGAAATAAAGGGCACTGTTAACCTTATCTTAGAGGGTAGGTATTTTACATTTTCTTGTGAGCTTTCCCTCCTCTATTGAAATTGCTACATACTACCTTAAGAAATTGAAAATTGATGATTCTCGATTAACAATAGATTGTGAAATTGAATTTTGATATCTAAGTGAATTTAATTTCGATCAAAAAATTCGATCAAACACATTGAAATTGATTTTCGATCAAAATAACTAGTACTATAATCATCTTAAACTCAAAAGTTGTTCAATGGTGGAGGGAGGGGAGAGAATACACAATACCTGCTTCAAGCCTTCAATTGAACACTGAATTGTGAAAAAGGAAAGAAAAATTGAAAATGTCAAATTTATCCTTATTTTATAAGTTAAAAAGACAATTTTAACCTCATGAGATACATTTCATGTTTATCAAGAAGGGAAACAGGAAATTACCCATTTATAACCTAGTTAGATACATAGTATTTCCTCCGTTTTATTGCACCATGAGAGATTTCACGCTTGCCAATTCATTTTTTTAGCTATTAATATCTTCAATTATACTTTTGTAAAATTATAAATATTTGATATTTGAAAAAAAAATATTTTGAGACGAATCTAACTAGATTCCACATGACTATATTTTTCCGAATAAATAAATCACAAATGATGGTCAGAAGATTAAGTGAATAGTGTAAAATTCCTAATCTATTAACTAGTAACTAGTACTAAAACAAAACATTGCTGACATCATCTCTCCTCAAAACTTATACGTGTCGTTTTCTTATGCAATTTTTTCCGGCCTAAAACTATTGATGATGTCATTTTTCTGTGATTTTTTTTTAAAAAAAGGTTTTTTTTTTTGGTACTTCGTAAACAAGCTAAGTAAATTCTTTCAACAACTTTTCTCTAGAAAATCGGAATATAGTAAATTGAATAGCAACAATATTGATTTCTTTTGATTTAAAAATCTATCATTCCTTCTGCTCAATTCCTTAACGCTAATATTCAAACATTCATAAATTTCTTGAAATACTAAAACTGTATTCTTTTCAAGAAATATCCTCCAATAAATTTATGGCAAAATTAAAATAATTCATTGTATATACGAGTTCTACACTATTATTTTTTTTTTTTGTTAAAATCGTGCGAGATAATCTAATGGTGCAATAAAATAAAAACGGAGGAAGGATATCATCACCCTTAAAATAACTCGTATTCCGTAAGTCCGTATCATTCACGAATCCGTAAACTGTGCTTACGAAAAAAACTGTACAAATTCTCAGTACACTAAACAGTGAACACATTCTCTCTCTACGCTCAACTCAATTCAGGCTGTGATCATACACTCAACTCAATTCTACATTCTGTGCGTCATCAGTCCGCCAACGACAACGCCTCCCTCGACTTCCTCCGCCTTCACAACCGTCAAATATCTTTCTAAATGAGGTGACAAACTTCTGGTTTGAATTGTCTACTCCATAATTTGTTAATTGCTTTCCTTGTTTATTTGATTGTTTTTGTTTGATAAGAATGAAATTAATATGGATTGTTTGGATTTTCACGACCTTTTCTTGATATTTGAGCTTTAATGTGATTTTCTTGGGTAATTTAGGTTTTGTGTAAAGTTTGTCAGCTTCGATGGTAAAGTGTTGAAATATCTAGGGTTTTTGATGTTCATTTGGTTCCAATTTTTCTGCAAATGCTTCTGTAATTGAAAATTTCATGTGAAGAAGGATCTAAATGGTGTAGTTTGGTTTGAATTTAACCCCATTCTGGTTGGATGATTTGATTTATGTTTTTTAGGAAGTAGTTTTTATAATTTTGTACTCTGTTTTTGCGAATTTCATTTGTTTTTGTTAGAAGATCGATTATAATATATGGTTCTTTTACTACTTTCCTAATACGAGTAGTTACATAATGCATTGACTCATTGAGCACCACTAACATTAGCTTTTTTTTTTTTTTGTTTTTTTTTGTTTTTTTTTTGAGATCATAAGTTAGTCCATTACAATGTATCGAACAATCTGTTGTAAATATAGAAGAAATCTATAGTAATAGTATAAAGAAATAACAAGTAAGACCGAAAAATTGATCTCACAAAACAAAGGAACAAATGGTGTGTCGTGATGCAAATCACTGACTTGAAAACGAAATTCCGGCGCTACCACGGTGCTCAATTGTATTCGCCAGCACGTTCCCTAAGGTTAACACACCTCTTTCACACAAAGACACTTTTGGGTGGAAGGTTGGAGTCAAGTATCTTATGCCCAAAGAGAGATGTGTTTAAGCTATTGTGTTTGAATGTATTTTAAGTGTATGAAATCAGAAAATTATTCTCTAATTTATAATAGAGATTGAGGTAGATGAAAAGATCATAGAGAGAATATTCTTAAACAAGAAGAATGAAATCAGAATTTTTATGGTGGTTAAAACACCATAATAAACCTCTTAAATGGGGGGGGGGGTTACAAGAAATCAAACTAGAAGAGGAATCCAAGGGATCCGTTGGAGTTCAACGGACAAACACGCGCCCGATCGAGCGAACACTTTTTTTTTTCTAGACGTCTTCTCGCGCCCGATCGGGCGGGGCTCGCCCGGTCTGGGCACTCGATCGGGCGGCGGAACTACAAAATTTTACGACTCTTCTCGCGCCCGATCGGGCGGCTAGCCTGATCTGGCAACGGAGCTCCAGAATTTTACGACTCTTCTCGCGCCCGATCGGGCGCGCCCATATCTGACCCTTTGAATTTCCTTTCTTTATTTCCAACAATCCCCCACTAAAGGAAGGGAAGAAAAGCCTACAAAAGATGTGGATAAGCAACATATTGGGCATAAGAGGAGATCAATACATAACACTTAGATATTTACATAAGTAATTTGAAATCTAGTGTTTAGTGAGATGAGGCAATGAATTACAAGTATAAGGGTGGAAAATTCTTGAAACCCTTACACCCTTGATCAAAGAGTGGACGGACCTTGAAACTCTAAGATTTAATCCAAGACCCCTACATCACATACGTCACTCCAAAATATACTTGAACTCCGCGAAGAGATGTACTTATTTATAGCCAAGCACATTCACCTTAGGTCTAGTGGAGGCTCTAGAAAACCGGCCAAAGTTTTCATAGAAGGTGGCTAGTCTTCATAACCACATAGGTGAGTCCTTTAGTGTGCGTCTCAATAGCACAAGGACCCATTAAGAGTTAAACAACTTAACCTCACAAACACAACCAAACATTACCAACAACATCATCATAGGAATTAGGACAAATGTAATGTATCATATGGCTTAAGTCCAATTCCCCTCGATGATTCATCAACTTGCTTTCTTGCCAATCCTTTCGTCAAAGGATCTGCCAAGTTCTTTTCGGACCTCACATAATCCAAAGCAATCACTCCATTTTTGAGAAATTGCCTCAACACTTTGTGTCTCATACGAATATGTCTTTTTTTACCATAGTAGTTGCTATTGTTTGCCACTCCAATTGCCGCTTGAGAATCACAATGTATAGACACCGGTGATGAACTCTTCCCCCACAATGGAATGTCGGCTAGGAGGTTCCTAAGCCATTCCGCTTCATGACCTGCCAACTCAAGAGCAATAAGTTCAGATTCCATGGTGGAGCGAGCTAGACATGGTTGTTTTGAAGACTTCCATGAAATAGCACCTCCACCTAAAACAAAAACATAACCACTAGTAGAAGAAATTTCATCATTATCGGTTACCCAATTAGCATCACAATAGCCTTCCAAAACATTTGGAAAGCGATTAAAATGTAAACATACATCCATAGTACCTTTGAGATACCTTAATAACCGACAAAGTGCAATCCAATGATATAGACTTGGATTGTGAGTATATCTACTAAGTCTACTTACTGCATAAGCAATATCGGGTCGTGTGCAATTCATTAGAAACATCACACTACCAATTACCTTTGCATAGAGCTCTTGAGATACACTTGTACCCTTGTTTTATTCAAGCTTTAAGTTGGGATCATATGGAGTAGTGCTAGGAGCAACATCAAAAGAATCAAACTTCTTGAGTATTTTTTCCACATAGTGAGATTGACTCATGGAAAAACCATTCTTAGTCTTCCTTAAACGAATTCCAAGAATAACATCGGTCTTCCATATCCTTCATTTCAAACTTAGTGGAAAGTAAAGCCTTAGCATCATTCACAACATCAAGATTAGTACCAACAATAAGCATATCATCAACATATAAACAAATTATAACACATGATGATCCAAAGTCCTTAGAATACAAACAAAAATCCGAGGAATTAGACACATAACCACAACTCCTAAGGGTATTATCAAACTTTTCAAACCATTGCTTAGGATCTTGCTTAATACCATAGAGAGACTTTCTAAGCCTACACACTTTATGTTCTTGTCCCTTCACCACAAAACCTTCCGGTTGGGTCATATAGATTTCTTCATCAAGGTCTCCATTAAGAAAAGCCGTTTTGACATCCATTTGGTGAACCACTAAGTCATGAATTGCCGCAAGGGCTACCAAGGTTCTAATGGTGGCTATCTTAGTCACGGGGGAATAGGTGTCAAAGAAATCTATACCTTCTTTTTGGGTGAAACCTCTAATGACAAGTCTAGCCTTGAACTTATCTATGGTCCCATCCGGTCTAAGTTTCTTCTTGAAAATCCACTTACAACTTATAGGCTTAGAACCCTTAGGCAAGTCACAAAGATCCCAAGTGTGATTGGACATGATAGAATCTAGTTCACTCTTAATGGCCTCTTTCCAAAAACTAGCATCTATGGACCTCATTGCCTCATCATAAGTCTTAGGATCTTCTTCTAAAAGAAACAAAGACACAACATGCTCACTTAAAGAATCCACGTCAAAGTCTTCTACAAGAAAGGAAGTCAAGAAATTCGGTCCAAAGGAAGACTCTACTTTAGGTCTCTTACTTCTCCTAGGTTCAACTACTACCACTTTGGTAGAGGAAGAAGGGAGATTAGAACTAGGCATAGAATCAACTAAAGGCACATCCATACTTGACTTACTAGCATGCATGTCTACATTAGAAGACAAAGATTTGTTCATAGGAAAAATATGCTAAAAAAATACCGCATCTCTAGCTTCACAAATTGTTCTATCACTTAATAACATGAACCTATAGGCTGCACTATTATGAGCATATCCAATGAACACACAATCAAAAGTTTTAGACCCGATAGTGGATTTTTTAAAGTCCGGTAAAGCCACCTTAGCCAAACACCCCCATACTTTTAAAATACTAAAATTTGGACTATATCCCTTCCAAAGTTCATAGGGGGTTTTATCCGATTTCTTATGGGGCACTCTATTGAGTACATAACAAGCGGAAAGAACCGCTTCTCCCCACAAGTTATCGGATAAACCGGAACTAAGAAGCATGACATTCATAGTCTCTTTTAAAGATTTGTTTTTCCTTTCGACAATGCCATTTGACTGGGGTGTGTAAGGTGGACTAGTTTCATGTATGATGCCATTGGCTTCACAAAAATCTTTTAAAGAATCTTTTCCAGATTCACCACCTCTATCGGTTCTAACTCTTTTGATTTTAAGGTCCAATTGATTTTCAACTTCGGCTTTGTACTTTAAAAATGCACTTTCGGCTTCATCTTTAGTTTTAAGCAAATAAACTTTGGTATAACGAGAAAAGTCATCAACAAAAGTAATATAATAATTTTTACCACCCCTACTAGTGCATTTTTTAAAGTCCGCTAAATCCGAGTGAATCAATTCAAGTAATTTGGTACTTCTTGAGACCACTTGCTTAAATGGTTTTTTAGTATGTTTGGCCTCAACACAAATATGGCATTTGTCAAGTTTATCATCCATTGAAAAATTAATTAAATTCATGTCCTTTAACTTTTTCAAATAAGAGGAATTCAAGTGTCCCAAACGGTTGTGCCAAACATCCAAAGACTCAACAACATAAGCAAAAGAAGTACTTCCATTCTCATTCATAACATTCAAAACAAACAAACCATTATTGAGGTAGCCTTTCCCAACAAAGTCTCCATTCTTAGTCATTACAATCTTGTCGGCCTCAAAGACAAGTTTTAGGCCGGCTTTGTTGAGAAGGGCTCCCGAAACAAGATTTCTCCTAAGAGAAGGAACATACAACACATTATTTAAAAATAAAGTTTTTCCGGAGGTGAGTTTGAGATGGACCTTTCCTTTGCCAAGGATTCGCGCGGTGCTACTATTGCCCATGTAGACATGATCACCATCGGTAACATCTTCAAACTCGGTCATCAAGGCCTTATTTGCACAAAAGTGCCTAGATACTCCGGTGTCCAAAATCCACTCCACTTTGTTCTCCACCAAGTTGGCTTCTATCACCACCGCCGCAATGATTTCTTCTTTTTCCACCACATTGGCTTGGGAGGTGTTGCCATCTTTCTTTGCACCATGCCTCCGGTTGCATTGGTATGCTTTGTGTCCAACAATCCCACACATATAGCAAGCACCCTTTGGCTTTTGGATTTTGTTGTTTGGAGTGAGATTGTTTTTGGACTTGTTGTTTCCCTTCTTCTTAGAATTGTTCCTGTTTTTAGACACATTCAAAGAAGACTCAACAAGATTAGCTTTAGAAGAATTAAGAGACAAATTCTCAAACTTATCCTTAAGGCGATTAGCCTCTTCGGTTCTCATGTGGCTAATGAGCTCTTGGAGATTCATGTCCTTCTTCTTGTGCTTCAAAGAGTTACGGTAGTCATTCCAAGAGGGAGGGAATTTCTCCAAGAGAACATTGGCTTGAAGGGTCTCACACATCTTCATGCCTTCACCAAGAATTTCAGTCACCATGTTCTCATATTCATGGACTTGAGACATGATAGGCTTCTCATCATCCATCTTGAAATTGAGCCACCTGCCCACCACGTACTTCTTTTTCCCTGCATCATCCGCTCCATATTTTTTCTCCAAAGCGTCCCAAATAACCTTGCTTGACTTGAAATTGACAAACAAATCAAACAAATTATTTGTTCATATGGCTGAGGAGATGTCCACGAACAAGCTTGTTGTCTTTCTCCTTCTTCTTCAAGGCATCGGTGATGGCCGCCGGAATGGGATCCGTTGCAATCTTGGCCGCTTCCTCCGCCTTCTCCAACACTTCAATGACATCTTCATTCAAATCATAATCTATTTCCACTTGTTAAAAAAAAGATTAGTAGCTTTTGTGACCACCTCTTACCATCGAGAGGTTCCAACTTAGAGAGGTCGGGAAGAGACTTCATAATACTATTACCAATAGACATAATTTCGTTTTCAAATTGTTGTAAATATAGAAGAAATCTATAGTAATAGTATAAAGAAATAACAAGTAAGACCGAAAAATTGATCTCACAAAACAAAGGAACAAATGGTGTGTCGTGATGTAAATCACTGACTTAAAAACGAAATTCCGGCGCAACCATGGTGCTCAATTGTATTCGCCGGCACGTTCCCTAAGGTTAACACACCTCTTCCACACAAAGGCACTTTTGGGTGGAAGGTTGGAGTCAAGTATCTTATGCCCAAAGAGAGATGTGTTTAAGCTATTGTGTTTGAATGTATTTTCAAGTGTATGAAATCAGAAAATTATTCTCTAATTTATAATAGAGATTGAGGTAGATGAAAAGATCATAGAGAGAATATTCTTAAACAAGAAGAATGAAATCAGAATTTTTATGGTGGTTAAAACACCATAATAAACCTCTTAAATGGGGGGGGGGGTTACAAGAAATCAAACTAGAAGAGGAATCCAAGGGATCCGTTAGAGTTCAACGGACAAACACGCGCCCGATCGAGCGGACACTTTTTTTTTCTAGACGTCTTCTCGCGCCCGATCGGGCGGCGAAACTCCAGAATTTTACGACTCTTCTCGCGCCCGATCGGGCGGAGCTAGCCCGATCTGGCAACGGAGCTCCAAAATTTTACGACACTTCTCGCGCCCGATCAGGCGATGCCCGCCCGATCGGGCGCCCATATCTGACCCTTTGAATTTCCTTTCTTTATTTCCAACACAATCTATAACCATGTCAGAGTGTCAAGGATCAACATGGGTAATTGGATACTTTCATGGCTAGCCTTCTTGTTTTTGTTTATGTTTTCCTTGTTTGATTAATTAAATAGTAAGTGGGAAATATGTAAAACATTGTGATTATCTAGTATATTAAGGGTGTGCATAATTTACTTGATATTCACTAGTCTAGACCTATCTTATTTTATCTGAACTTATTTGAACCTATTGAGCTTATAAAAACTTATTAAGCATTATATTTTAGTTGTAATTTGAAATGTGGGTGACCCTTGTCAAAACTTTTTTTTTTTAATTATCTTATTTGATTTGATTTTTCCTTAAATGAGTGAAAATAAGGTGGACAAAAATCATGTTTAAAAGTAACATTGTAGGTTTATGAAGTTTTTTTTGATAAAGTATGTAAGGAACATGTATAACTTTAAGATTATCTGGCATATTATTAATAGCTTCCGTTGATTACAACAACGTATTCCAAGATATAACTCCATTTTGGTTGAAGGACAAGGGGAGGGTGAAAGGGCTAGATGCATGCTACCTATATGATATATAGCAAGTAGATTTTCATGTATTGACTATTGCTCCAATACTCAATGACTCTTTGTTATCCTTAATGATTCATTCCTATTTACCCTATTACTTCTTTGGTTCCAAAAATATTGCAGTATGGGGTAGGGCAAAAGTTTTAAAAAATTGGGTAAATTGTGAGAAAGGACTACAAAACCCTTGTGAATTACCTATAAAATCCAAGTGGGTAAGGAATCTAGGAGTTATTTTTTTTTTTTTTTTGACAGAAGAATCTAGGAGTTAATTGACATAAGGTTATATATATATATTAGATTGTGAAAGGAAGTAATTATTTTTTTTTATTTTTTTTTTTCCAATGATGCTCTATTTGCAAAACTTTTGTAAATAGTAAATGTAATATTTATGGAACAACTATAAACCAAAAGTCAAAAAAATAGTGAATCTTTAATTCACTTGCGAACTAGGTTAACAAAGGGAGGTACAATAATGTGAATGAGGAAGGGAACTAGAAATGAGAATTTCTCATTGTTAAAAGCCTAGGGTTACACAGACTATATCCAATATGATCTTGAAAGTTACAAGACTTACAACTCATAAAAAATGAACATAATCTTTTCTTTATTTATAAAGATAATATATTTTCATAAAAGATTATACCCATGGAACTATAATAAGATAATCATAGAGATATTGTAAAAAACATTAAGAAAGAGCTTAATGTATTCATCATGCTCTTCAAATCTAAAAATTGGATTTAACTAAGGAAGTTGAAAGTTTAAAACAATTAGACAATTTTATTTTTAAAGAACTTGCAGATTTATCGACCTATATTATTGTTTCTATTATGTTAGATTTGGAAAAATGGTTCTGCATGTTTAATAGAAAGTCAGATCTATAACATAACTCTTATGTTTTAATGCTTATCATTCCCTGATTTTTGCGTGTACCTTGTAAAAATTCTTAGTCATGTTACCCCCTCCCCCTCTAATATGAATATTGAAGACTAAATTTTGGAATATTTTTCTATTTTATATCTTTTATTGTGATGTACTGCTAGCTGTTCTGTTACTTGTTTTGTCAGCATTCAGGGAGATTAAGGTCTCTGCAAGTCTTTGCAGAAATAGAGTTCCAAGTAATTCTCCTGACTATGGGGCTATCTTCATGGCAAGCAACTCCACCAGGAAAGAATGTTTTGAAAGAGAAATCTTTGGTCTTCCATCTGAATATGCTGATTTTGTGATGAAAGTTAAGAATGGGATGCCTTTGTTTCTCTTTGATTTTCAAGAGAGAATGCTTTATGGGGTTTTCGAGGCAACCTCTGATGGTGCGATGAATATAGTCCCTGATGCATACAGGTCAACATCAAACAGGAAGTTTCCAGCACAGGTGTCTTTTGTTTCCAAGATCACACTCATATCCTACATTTTTTTTAAAATTCTATAATCTCATTTAAATATTTCTGTTATATCCTAAATTCTTTGGTAGTAAATCCCATAATGCTTTACCCCAGGTTCGCTTCAGTACATTTTGGCACTGTGATCCTCTTCCAGAGAACGTTTTTGGTGATGCGATAAAGGAAAACTACTTCAAACAATTCAAATTCAATCTTGGTTTATCCAGAGATCAAGTATTCTCACTCCCTTTTTTTCCTCACTGTTATTGTCTTTCTGTATTCTAGTGCTGACACCATGCATCATTCTAGTTTTATGAATATACAATCAATTATATATTTCAACATTTTTCACTGGTTGAAAAATTCTAAGTAGCAATCCTGTGTCTGCCAATGTGTACCACTTCGTGCAACTTTGCATGAAAATATATCTACAATTTCATGCATTTTTTTCTCTGAAACAAAGCTGTAAAGGACTTCTATCATGTTCGTTTAGTTTCACTTGCTTCATTCTTAGCTATTTCAATGTTTCTAATAAATTATGGATTATCTTGATATTTCATTATTGATTTCTGTTTGGCTGTGCTCAGGTTACTGTTATTTTATTTTATTATTATTTACTTAATTTTTGTTTTGTGGTTATTGGAGAATGATTTATGTACTAGTCACTTGGATTTTATAAAATGCAGCCATTGATTATTACTTTATATTAGTGTTTAATTTGCAGGAAGTAATATATCAAATTGTTTAATGTGTTGGTGATTGGGGGTAATCAGTGAAAAGAGAACTTAGTATTAGTGGAGTACATATATTTTGGTGATTTGGGGGTTACGCCCAGTTAGCGATCTTAGGCTTCTTAGCATTGCCACATTACCCATCTATCTTATTTATTTATATTATGTATGCTTTAAAAATGCAGGTAGGAAGGCTCCTATTTCTGTTTGAGAAACGAATGCTCAAAATACCTAATCCTCCTGTGAGGGAAAAAAAAAAATCAAGAGTAGCAGACAAATAGAAAAATCTATGGTGGTACTCCCTAAATCTGTAGTAAATCTAGAGCTATTAACAGAGACACCACAAGAATCAATTCCAGAGAAAACAGGCAACTTGGATGCTCCTGATCATGGAAATGCAACTCACCTTGACGACTATATACCATTGCCTTCAATAGAACCTGAAGAAATTGAAGATCCTTCTGAAGGATTCCTTTGTGGTGCTGATTTATCTTCCTTATGGCCATTTACAAAGGTTGGTGGTACAGATGGTGACAAGCAGGTTGATGATGATACTAGGTGTCTTGTTCAGGGTGGGTGGGATTCAGACTATTCAAAGCCAGCCAGCTGTTCATCAGGACCTAAAATAAGTACACCACAAGTAGACCACAAGAAAATTGATGATTCCAGTGGCTTGCAGGTTCAGGGGCTATTAACAGAGACACCACAAGAATCAATTCCAGAGAAAACAGGCAACTTGGATGCTCCTGATCATGGAAATGCAACTCACCTTGACGACTATATACCATTGCCTTCATTAGAACCTGAAGAAATTGAAGATCCTTCTGAAGGATTCCTTTGTGGTGCTGATTTATCTTCCTTATGGCCATTTACAAAGGTTGGTGGTACAGATGGTGACAAGCAGGTTGATGATGATACTAGGTGTCTTGTTCAGGGTGGGTGGGATTCAGACTATTCAAAGCCAGCCAGCTGTTCATCAGGACCTAAAATAAGTACACCACAAGTAGACCACAAGAAAATTGATGATTCCAGTGGCTTGCAGGTTCAGGGGCTGTACTCAGACAAGATGAGAACAAGTGCATTTCTACGATTGTCGGGGCTAGGGAAAGTGTTGGGGAAGGAACGTCATTGTTGTAGTAAGGTGGACAATCTGGGGGATGTACTGAAAGGACTGGACGAGAGGCATAAAATGTGGAAGTGCAAAAGCAGCATTGAGAATACTTCCAGGATTAGTGTGTTTTCTCGATTGAGAAGAGATGTTGGAAAGGCACCGGAAGGTGAGAAGAAATCCATGGATGTAGCAAAAAAAATTAAGTCTCAGAATTTGAAGCGCAAGAGTAGTTGCAGTGTCAAGATCAGTGAAAAGGATGACGATTACTTACCAGGAAATCAGCAGGGAAAGGCATTGGAAAGCCATAGTAAAGTAGTATTATCCGATGAGATGAAGTCCATAGACATTGTGAAAGATTTCATTAGTCAGACTTTGAAACACAAGATTAGTTCCAATGTCAAACATCCTGGGAGAAGATTGAGGAGTAATTGTTCCAGAAAAAGATCAAGAACTAGGACTTCTAACAGTTCCTCTAGTGTAGCAGATCATTCTGAGGGAAGTTCTTTCTGCACAATTAACAGTACATGCCATGAAGATGTATGACGACTGAATGCTGAATATGAGTTTAACATCTGATCTAGTGTGTAATATAAACTCTAAGTTTTTTGTTTTATCTCTAACATGAGTTGTGAAGCTGGGTGCTAAGTTTAGTCACTGTAAACTAATGCACAAAATTCTACGTTAATCAAATTTCCCTGGATTTTATTAATTCGGAAAATTCTGTCATTGAATTTGTACTGCAGAGTTTACTATGCTTCTCAATTTATAAGGTCTGCTTTGATCTGGATTTCAAGGAGTACTAAAACGGAAATCTGTTGATATCATCCTTTCTCTCAAATGTATGTGTCACATGAAAAAATTTTCCCGCCAAAATCACTTTTTTTTTTGAATAGTTGAGGAATTAGTTATTTATTTATTTATTTATAATCATTTTCATTTAATCTTTTGACTGTACCAATATATAAATAAATAAATTTTATTTTTGGTTGGAATAAATAAATTGATATCTAGAAATTGGCTTTCATTTTTTATATTTGTTACTCATGTAATTTATGATAATTGCTGCATATTCTTTTATGATTTAACTTATAAGTATAAACGAGAAAATAAATAATAGAAATATGTTATTTTATTTCAATAATTTTTAAAATCTGTACATCATTACATGGTACGGGTCTAATCTAGTTTTTCATTATTTTGTCAAATTATCAATATTAGTTTTGATTGACCAAATCAAACTCCAAAATCTCTTGAATGACTTTCTATCAGCCTTTTATTTTTGTGATCTAATTTGTGATAATGTATTCTTTTACTTCTAAACAATTTATGGAAAAAATTGTGTGCGTATAATTGTTGACCTGAGTATTACACATGGCAACCCACGTTTTGTTGAATATAGCAAAGGTGATTATATAAGGATGGTTATTGCTTATTTTAATGATTAAATGAGGATGGTCATTGTAAACGATTTGCTCAATTGGTGTTAAAATATAAATCCAAATTATTGTCCAGCTAGGTTTGGAAATTACAAAGCTAGGAATTAAAATTAATGGCTAATACAATCCAAATATATATGTATACCATCAAATTCTTTATTTTTAACAATTACAGTATCGAGAGATGCCATCCTTTAATGTATGAGCATTAGTAACTAGATCAAAAAAAATATTGGTCATTTGTGAACAACCTAGTATATGTACTATTTGAAGGATTTTCAAATGACATTTTCCTGCAAATTAGAGTAAAAAAAAAATTACTATATGCATACATATAAAAATAAAATCAAATCAAACTAGCTACTCCCAAAACTTAATAAATCTAATGTGGTCTACTCCTTTTTGAGTAATCTTCATTTTAGAAAATTTAATAATTGTATTGAGTCAATCAATAATGTTAATAACATATCTCGATTTCAACCCCCTTTTCCTCAAAGTAGCTCATCGTCTAAACAATCTATCTGTTGGTTGTTTTCCCCATATTTGAACACATCACTCAACACATTGATCAATCTATAAGAGGGGTTGATAGCAGCAATGCAACGGTGAGAGGGGGTAGTGAACATGTAGTAGAATGTGGGGGTGCAACATGTAGAAAACTTTTACCATGTTGATGTCGAAATTGTAGCAGCAAAAGTTGTCATTACTATAGGACAAAAGAAAAACTAATCATGGGGCGTAGCCGAAGATAACACGCTTATATTGGGTTACATTAATTTAGAAGTGACATAGTGAGGGAATTAACACAAAGAAAAGCGAGTATAAGTTTAAATATGTAACTTTTACAAAAAGGCAAGAATAGAAAACCCTGGTTGTTGAGATCCAGATAAGAAAATCAAAAAGAAGATATGAGTTATCCTCGATTCCCTCGTCCTTAGCCTGTCTAGAATCCTGAAGTTAGGGGGGCTAGTGGAATCATCATCGCCCTTAAGGCTCTCTACCGTCATCTCACTAGTAGCATATATGGTGGTTAAATTAGTAACACCAATCTCAGCATCGCTACTAGGCAACCTATTAGATTCTAGATTGGCAGAAGGCTTGCTAATCTTTCCCTTTTTGTCAAAAAGGGCGTGTGACAGGTTGGAAGCCTCAGTACCCCTCTTGCCTTTGAGCTTGCTAGATTTGCTTCATAGACTCTACAATGTTTCCATCTCATGGAGAATGTCTTGATTGTTAGTGTAGACACCAAAATGTGTCTCTCCAAAACCAAACCCAGTGATGAATACCTTTCATATCATTTGATTATCAAACAAAGTAAAAGTGTGAAAAGTCTAGTGATGCGGTTGTTTTTATTAAAATATCTCTCTTTTTGTTTTTGAAATGTGCTCTATTTATGAAAATAGCCAGTCAGATTTAGTTTGGTCTATGATAAGGGTCCAATAATAGTGTAGTTGAATTGAGCTCAAAAAGAGCTTTCCAACGATATATTATAAGCCCAATTCCGATGAATAATGAGGAAGTTATGGCTGAAATACTAAATTGAGCCCGTAACGAATTTTATATGTGGCCCAATGATCTAGAGGAGGGCCTATTAATTATTATTCCTAAAGTTATTAGGATTGACTTTAATCTTCAAGAATAATATAGAAGGTTCTTATGGAATCAGGATTGATAATTATATTTTAACGATTTTTATTTGGAATAAAATAAGTGTTTGTGATAAACCCGATTTCAATTTGATAAACACGGAATTTTCTGCTTAATCATATTAAGAAGAGGATTCCGCGTGCAAAGCGCCTTTATTTTCTGACTCAGCGCAAGGCGACAAGCCTGTCGCCTGGCGCCAACACCTATCGTCTGGCGCTGGCTCTTGTCGCTCGCGACATGAGGTTTTTTATTCCTAATGGAACTCGATCTCTTTTCTTTTGATTTCCGGACTATTTTTCTATATATAGGGTCCTAGACCTTTGTTTTCAAATCACCCAGAATTCTCTAATTCTGTCCTCTCTCTTAAGCAATAGCTTATTCTTTCTCCCTCTTGCTTTCTAAACTAGCTTTTTCACAAACAAAATTCCGCACTCATTAGTTCTAGACACATCTAGCCAAGTTCGAAGTTGCCTTTGCCCTAGACGTGAAAGGTTGATAATTTCTGAGGGTTTGGTCTCAAATCTCTCTTTCAATTATTTAAGTTAATTGTTTGATTTATTATTTTCCTTGAAGTTACTAACGCGTGTATTTTGTTATTAGAAAGAGATACGAGGCATCCAAGTAAGTAATTTAATTACTTTGCTATTATGTAGAAATCATGCTTTGATTGTCAGTATCATGTTAGGATGTCTTTATGATTCCTAGTATCATGTTTAGGGTATTAACTAAAATTTCTAATATCATGTATTTTTATATGATGCTTCCTATTCTTTCATAATATCATGTTAGTATCATGTTAGGGTTAAAGCTTTGATTTTATATTTAGTGACATTCTAGGGTTTGTTATTAATCTTGTTAGTATCATGCCTAGGATCTTGTTATCATTATTATACTTTATTGATATTATTATTATGATGATAATTGTTATTATTATGTTGCTTGATATTATATATTATTATTGTTATTTCTTGATCACGCCTTTTATGCATGTTTAAAGGGAATTTGTACATGTAATCACATTTAATAAGATAATTAATAATCTTGTTTAGACTAATATGATTATAATTCAAGTGATCTCAATAATATATTTGTTTGTGCATTAATATTCAACCAACATAGATTATACAGGTTTAGTGTAATACCCCGTATTTTTAATGTATTTTATAAATATTTATTTAATTATAAAATATATTTTGGGTCAAACCATTTTAATTATTGGATTATAAATAAAACAAGTATTTATATTTGAGTATATAATCCAAATATAGCTCATTTTCTTAATAAACCAATTCATCCTACTCTTGTATTTGGGTTAACTGTTTTAAGTCCATGACTGTATAAAGCCTGAACCTACACTAATTACCCTACACTATATATATCTAATAGATCCCCAAAATTCCCTACACAAAAAGTCAAATGGTCAAAATGGACAATTTTCCCTTTTCTTTTCTTTTCCTTTTCCTTTTCTTTTTCTTCTTTCTTTCCTTTCCCCTTCACCCTTCCCGTGAAAACAAATCAACCCCCACTGCAGTTGCTGACGTGCGGCCACCGTCGGCTCGCTCCAGCCAGAGTTCGGACGCCGGTGACGCCCAGCCACCTAACCGGTGACCACCACCCATAGCCCTTGCCTCCCTATCCCTTGCGTGAACAAGCAGCAGCAGGGACGCGGCTGCTGTCCGGTCAGCTACCTGCTGTCGCCGGCTACCTGCTAGTGGTCGCCCAGACCACCACCGCCGTACCACCTTTCTTCCTCCCTTCTCTCTCCTTGGTTTTGTTATTGAAATTAAGTTTTTGCATATTGTTATTAATATGGTTTTATTAGTTTAAAGTATGATTAATTTAGTATCAAAATCATATTCTTAGTATTCAAAGAATATAATTTCAGATTTTATACTTGATGTTAATACTCGGATTATATAAACTACTTCCTCCGTTCCTTTATAGTTGCAACACACACTTTATCACGCTATTTAAGAAAAGTGGACCTCACATGTTATAATACACTTAAAATGGGGTAAAATGGTTGTTAGGAACATAATCAAGTGGATCATGTGCTTTATTTAAAGGTATTAGTACAATTTTCACCATAAAAGCCTTCCTTTTATGGTGTGTTGCAACTATTGTGACATTTTCATATTAGGTAAGTGTTGCAACTATAAAATGGAGGAAGTATAAGTTAAGGTTTTCAATTTGATAAAGTTATGAGTTTTAGGGTTCTTACATAAATTGATTTGGGGCTTTTCTATATTTAGTAGTTCTATGGATTGATTAAGCATAAAAGTGATGTTTTGATGAAGTTTTGAAGGGTTTTTAATTGATCTAAAATGCTGGAATTTTGCCTAAAGTCTTATTTTTGGTGTTTTATAAAAAGGGTGTAATTACCTATTAAAGAGGAGTTTAATTAAGGGTTTTTTAAAAAAATTTCAGCTTATTATAAGTTATTTAAAGTGGATTTAAGTTGTTGGAAATTGTGTATACAAGGGTAATGTAACACCCCAAATTACTCTCTAATATTAACAATAATATCCAACTTTAGAGAGTAACATGGGAGTATTACCGCCACGTGATTACGTAAGGCTTAACAGAGTTTTGCAGCGGAAAATAGTACTTAACTTTCATTAATGATAATAATAGTAGTAATAATAGTTTGATACATTTTCAAAGTAACTACACTACTAATACTATGTTTATTAAGTTAAACTAGGTGATCACCGCCCATCGTTCCCAATGCAACACATAGTTCACGTTGTCCGATCGCCATCACCTATCTACTCATCAAAATGATAAGTAGGGCCAAGCCAAAACAAAACAAATACGTATTAGCCAAATTGCCAAGTACATACAAATGCTAGTCATGTAAAATCAATTTAATTAATTAAACATGTTTTCAAAGAGATTTAACTTAAATAAATCATAATTTATCCAAACCATTCATGAATAGAAATTCATGTATAAAAACTTGTCAAAAGAACCAATTTTCGAAACAACCAACTTTCCAAAGATAATTCCGAATAGGATGGATCAATCCTTATTTTCGCAAATCATTTTACCACCTAAGTGTGCACACCCCCCCAAGTTAGTAACTCCTTTACATAGTGCTATCAAGGGGAAAGACTAGGTCATACAAATTCCATAGTCTTCAACTTACTCCGCGTAGTGGGAGTTAAAAATCCAAAGATCCAAGGAATAAATCCTGATAAATAAACTTTCCAATATCCCATGCATACTCGGGATAATTTAAACAATAAAACCTTCTTCTTGAATATCAATACAAGTTTATAATCAACCATATAAAATATTTAAACATTTGAGATTAAACGATTAAAATATGCTTCACCAAATATATTTCATGATTATTTAAACATGGTTCGAAATCACTTAACATATAAATCACGTTGCATATAAAAGCCACTTATAAAAGATCTAGCCACGTGTACGTACCTTGATCCTTGCACACAAGTACGGAACTCCTAATTTTGAACTCGAAATTCCTCCTATAACAAACCAATAGTTCTAATCAAATACTTTTCAACTCATAGACACAAGGACTTAGACTATCGACTTTGACTAGTTGTGCATGAACAACTTATTATTATAACCCTTTTATAAAATTAACACTTGTATTTATGAAGTAATCTTTAATAATCCATAGTAGTAGTAGTAGTAGTAGTAATAATAATAATAATAATAATAATAATAATAATAATAATATAATAATAATAATAATAATAATAATAATAATAATAATAATAATAATAATAATAATAATAATAATAATAATAATAATAATAATAAGGTAGTAGTAATACTTTCGTAAGTAGTAGTGAGTAGTAGTAGTCTAGTAGTATAAAATAGGAGTACTAGTCATGCTTATAATAATAATAATAATAATAATAATAATAATAATAATAATAATAATAATAATAATAATATTATTATTATTATTATTATTATTATTATTATTATTATTATTAAGGTAGTACGTAGGTAGTAGTAGTAGCAAAGATATCAATAGCGACAACTATAATACTAACAACAACAATTATAATAATAGTAATAGTAATAATAATAATAATAATAATAATAATAATAATAATAATAATAATAATAATAATAATGATGATGATGATGATTACGATAATAGGAAGTAGTATTAGTAGTACGTAACATATGAGTAGTAGTAGTAATAATAGTAGTAGAAATAATTTTATTAATAATCATAATAGTAGGAGTTAAAGTGGTGTAATAGTAGTAGTAATCTAGTAGTATACACATATATAGTAGTATATAGGAGAGACTTACGGTAGAAACAAGAGGGAAAGGAGGTGGTGGCACGGTGGAGGCAAGGTGGTGTCGTGGTGGCTCCGACCAAAAGGAAATGAAAGAAAGGAGGATATGAGGGGGAAATAAAGGAGGAGAAGGAATATGGAGTAAGAATGCCTTACTTCCATGGCTATTTATAGCCTCCAAAAACTTCCATCATCAATGTTGCCATAAATGAGATGGATGGTGGTTGGGTGGTTTACTTGGACTTTGACCATTGACCATTGGCCATCAACTTGGACTTTGACTATGGAGTAAGAAGTAGATGAGTGGTAGTTGGGTAAATTTGACCCGAAAATAAGTGTTTGACTCGGGATTTCGGGCATGATACTAAAGGTTAAAAATCCGATTTTCGGTTTTGACAAACTTTAACATGACTCGTATAATTAAAACCTTTTACAAAACATAATTATAATATTATCTTCATAAAATCATATAAATATTTTTGTGTAATAGAATATTTCGGAAAAATCCATACTTAATAATAATTAAGTAGCTTTAAAAATACGGGGTATTACAGGTAATTAGTATAGTAATATTGTCCCTTTATGTAGGAGACTTGGTTCGGGAAGTGTTGTAGTGTTTTCGGCCACTTTAAGGGCTTAATTGTGGTACGTTCGAGTACTTAGCATAATTTTATTGATGTAGTAGCATGCTAAATGTGCTTAATTGATTACAAGTAGTATCATGCTAGATTTGGAATGGAAATTATGAATTGGTTGTTGTTGGTGATTTGAATAATGAGGCATGATTTATTTGTGATGGATTATTTTTTGGCAAATTATAGTTTGGAGTATTGTTTATGAACCACATATTTAATTGTGGTATGTTAGAGAGCATGTTTAATTAAACTAAATCTTTAATTTGGTTTAGAATATTGAAAAGGAATTTTATTATGGTTCATATGCTATAAGCATGAGGAAGGAGCTATATAAGAGTGTATGTACACGAGGAATAAATTACAAGTTGGTGCCTTAGTGCACTTAAGGTGTTTTTACCACCGAGGGATAGGATTTGTGGTGCTTTATGCGTTTAAGGTGTCTTTGACACCGATGTAGATTTGAAAAGGATTCAACGTTAAATTGTTATGTTTGATTGAATAATTATTGTTGAGTGAATGATTATGGTTTGAGAGTCATTACCAAGTTTAATAATATGTAAATAACTTAAAGTGAAAGAGATTACGCACCAAAAATCTTGGAACATATATACCTTGAGTACGTATGAACATATGGGGGGAGTTATGTGACTTTATATTTGATCATAACTTCTACGGGAGTACAGGACGCTTTACATTCCTTTTATTATTATTATGCGCAGAAATTCCACCAACCATGAGTGGTTTTGATGCTAGCGCGGTCAACTCCTGTGTCAGTAACCTCATTTATTGGGGGAGGCTGAGTGGGAAACCCGTTCGATGCGTAATCAATGCTATATAAATTATTTAGTGTCTAATTGAGAAGTTTTGTTGAATGTTGTGTGCTTGTAAACAGGTGCATTGAGGTAAGTGTGTGTTGATAGGTGAAAGCATGTTAGTGTGTTTAAATACGCTTATGTACTCAGCTTTGCTGATTGTGTTTTTGTGTGTTTATTGGCCTTGTATTTACCTTGGCCCTATGATGACCCATTTTTAACGGAGAGTAGTGGAAACGAGTAGAGAGAAGCTTTTCAGGTAATGAAGCATATTCATGAATGGACATGAGTGAAGAGTGAATCATGCTAGTTTCTATAAGTATATGATGTGTTTACTGCTTTAATTATTTATGATATTATTATTATGCATGACTAACGAAGAGTTTATGAATTTGATTTGGTTTTAATAAGGGCCTACAATGGTTCCAAGTTGTAAGTTGATTTTATTTTACTTCGTTGACTTTGGTTTTACTTTTGTTGACTTTACTTTTGTTTTGATGACTTTTTAAGTTGACTTGTTTTGAATGGTTTTGAATTTAGTCTTCCGTTGTGTATCTTTGATGATTGCCTTAGCCGTTTTCACGGTGGCGGTAATGTCTTAGATTTTCCTATTTTGAGTTTTACAAAGAGCAAAACAGGTATTTTAAAGGAAAGGAATTTCTAGGGTGTTACATTTAGGGTTAACCTATTGATTGTATGTTAGTCAGAAAGCGCACATGAATATGAGAAGAATAAAGTAGAGGCCTATTTTTAGGGCAGGTTCAATCTCTTTTAGGTTGGATTTGTACCTTCATCCCCGAAAATCTAGTCATGGTTCCAGACCACTATGGAGTTAGCGATCTCATAAATCGTGAAGGGGTGTTACCTTCACCCTGTGAACGGTTTACAAGTTCCTTATAATTGTTGGCGACTCTTTTACTCTAGCTTCCTTCCCTTTGGACGCCGTCATGCTTAAGTGTATATTCACATTGGGGCTCAAGTGTGGGATGCTTGAAATATTCCCTAAATTAAAGTTAGGCTCAGCGTTGGCTGCTTTTCCAAGGTCTTCATGGGCCACTTCAAGTTGATTGAGCTTGATCTCGGCTAAATCTCTTTTGTAAAAGACTTTAGTGTTGTTTCCATCAAGCATAATGACAATCGAGCAGAGCTCCTTAGTGTGTACATAATCACGAACCTTTAGGGCGCAAGCTCCATAGAAGAACACTATCATCTTCATTTCTCGGCAATACAAAACACAAAAATTTCAACCCTCTGTCATACTAAGCCCTAACAAAAATGACTTCACCCTTCTTGAAAAGGATATTGCCTTCCTCCTTCAAAATCTTGGCTTGATTTAGGATATTGGACAATTGTTAGTAGCAAAGTTGACAATGCTTTCATCATAATTGTCGTTCAAGTGTGTATGCATAAGGGCGTTATTTAATCTTTGACAACCCATACCAAACTTCTAAGGAGAAAAGGGAAAGACTAAAAACTTCACTAAAAGGAAGACACGAACAACACCAAGATGTAAACGGACTAAAATAACATAATTGAGGGAAAACCCAATTAAAAGAACACAAGCGAATTGCGACACTCCATATTAGAAAGAATGAAAAGGTAAGGAAATTGACAAGAAATAACACACCAAAGGCCATGTAATCCCCCATATTTTTAACATAATTATAATTTATTTATATATTATTCTTACAAATATTTTTATGTCAGTTTCATTAAATAAATTATTTTTTATGAAAAGATTTAAGTAAACTAACATGTTTTTACTAATTTACAAACAATTTTAACATTATAGCCCAAAACCCAAATATTACTCCTAATCTAATTAGGAAACCCAAAAGCCCAAATAAAACCCTCAAAAACCCTTACCCTTCTCCTCCTTCTCACGTAAAAAAAAAAGAACAACTTTCATTCTTCTCCTCCTTTCCCCTGCTCTCACGTACAACACCACAAGAGAAAAAAAAAAAACCCGAAGCTGCTGCTGCCGCCGCGCCGCCCAGCACAGCCGACCACTGCAGTTCGCCTCTCCTCTCTTCTCCTTCCTCTTATTTCTCTTTTCTTTATTTCTTGTTATTTTGATTAAAGATTCAATTTTCATTTGATTTCAATTATAAAATTATTGTTATTAGGCTTTAATAGTATGTATAAATCACAAAAGATTATAAATTTATGGGTTTTGTATGTCTAAAGTATTAAATAAAATTTCAGATTTGGTATATGTATGAATTTAGGGTTTAAAGTATTGATTTTTCATGTTTTAGGGCTTGATAACGTGTTAATCAAGTCATCTAATCATACTATGTTTAAATTACATTAAAGTATAATTATCTTAATCATAAATAAATTTTTAGATTTATTAAAGTTTCAATTTTTATGAACAAGTAGTGTTAATTTCATGTTTTTATGCTTCTAAACCTATAAAATAATTATTGTGAGTATTTTGTGATTGAAAAAGCTTTGAACTTCATATTCTAACTTTAAAAATAATTTTCAGATTTCATACCTTTTATTTTGAAGCCTCTAATTGCATTGAATTGATATATTCTTGGGTTTTTAACACACTAACTTGCTATATAATGACTATTTCAAGTAATTATGATTATGGGGTTATTTTATGTACTTAAAACAAATTTCCAGATTTATTTACCCACTTTAAAGTTGCTGTAATTTGATATAAAACACTATATTTTTATAATTCTAACATATAAACTTAAAGTTGGGATGTTATATTACTGTAGGGAATAATTTCAAGCCTTAAAAATCCCACCAGCTTGAACCCCACTGTGATCATACACTAAAGTACGGTGGCGTCCAAAAGGGAAGAAGATAGAGCAAAAGAGTCGCCAACAAGTTTTTAAGGAATCACTCATAAATCATAATCATAATCAAAATCATGCTCATATTAATATTAAAGCACAATGAACATAGCAAGATCCTAGGCATGATACTAACAAGATTAATAACAAACCCTAGCATGTCACTAAGCAATAAAAATCAAATCTTTAATCCTAACATGATACTAACATGAATAAATATTAGGAAGAGCATAGGAAGTATCACAACAATCATATTTAATATTAAAAATACCCTAGACATGATACTAGGAATATCATAATAACAATATAAACATGATATCTACATCATAAATCAATTAATCAATTAAAGTACTTACTTTGATGCCTCATACCTCTTTCTAATAACAAAATACACACGTTAGTAACTTCAAGGAAAATAATAAACAACAATTAAATTAAATAATTGAAAGAGAGATTTGGGACCAAACCCTAAGAAATTAATACCTTTCACGTCTAGGGCGAAGGCAACTTCGAACATGGCTAGGTGTTTCTAGATCTTGTGAATGCGGAATTTTGTATGAAAAAGCAAGAAAGAATTGAAAGATGAAAGAATACTAAAGAATTAATGAAAACTTGTGAATGAACAGAATTCGTGAATGAAAACGGAGTTTTTGATAAGATATTTATAGAGAAAATCAGCCAAAAAAGATAATTTAACAAAACAGAGTCTGAAGATCTCAAAACAGCATCGACGCCAACCCTGGCTAGCTGGCGCTAGGCACCAGTGGCTAGCGCCAGGCGCCAATGGCTAGCGTCTGGCGCCAAGCCTGGTTCCAGGCGCCAAGGCCTGGGGTTGGATGCCAAATTGGATTTCAACGCGTTTTCGAAAATCTGATA